TATATTAATATATATAAACAAAGCGTGCCCGAACCGCTTTTGTTTCCGAAAATATGAAAAACACAAAGTTTTTTTTTTTTTTTTTTCTTTTTTCTTTCGAGAGATCGATATTGTTCAGGTATGTGTATGTACATTATTATAAAGACATGATAGTTCCTATAGGATAGTATAAAGCGTATTACTTATAAATAAAACGATTTGATTGATCCTTCATAAATATTTTACTAAACCATGAATTATATCGCATTTTCTTTTCACCTGTATGTATTACGCGACAGCTAAAAATTTGTTTGATTCAGTAATCGGTCATAGATATGTACACACAAACATACATAGACACTTTTTATTATGTACCTTGATCTATACGCAATAAAAAATGGCTAATTCTTTGAGTGACATATAAAACGTTTGATAACGACAGGAAAATGATGAATTCTTCTTCTTTTAACAAATAATAAAAAGAAGAAGAAAAAAAAAAAAAAAACTTTGTGTTTTTCATAGTTTCGGAAACAAAAGAGCTTCTCTCACTCTTTCTTTATATATATATCTATAAATATCTATAAATATATTTATCATATATATTTGAAAAGAGAAATGATTTTGATCGAACTATGAAGCGATGGAGAAAGAACGAAGAGGTGTTAATATTAATTGTTCATTGAATATTTACAATTGATGATATCGCGAGAAGAAAAAAAAAAAACTGATATTAATGATTTATTATTATAATCGATTTATTATCTTAAAAATAAATATGAAAGAAAATATTCAACATACGTGTGGGAACGAATAAGAGAAAGAGAAACAAATTGGATGATTTGTGATTTTTAAACTGCCTATCATCTCTTTTCAAAATGCTATTTTAATAACTAGAAGTCAAATCGAGACATAAAATCTTGTTTAAAGTATAGTTATAAGAAAATTTTTTAAGACTAGATTCTCCCATTATCGTTCAAAAGATAGTGGGTCAAAGATGGATGATGCAAAGACCTTTTTTTTTTTTCCTTTCCTATAAGAGTTGTAGAATTCGAGCTAACTACGTATGAGAATAACATAAAAGAGCCGAATTTTTTTTTTTGTTTTTGTTCAATTCATTAATCTTTTACTCTTCACGAGTCGTTGAAATGATCAATTATGAAAATAAATAAAGCATCGAATCAAAAATCTTTTGAGACATTACTTTTGGCAAACTATTGGTTTCAACAACAAGAACCATTGCTCCGTCATCGAGATACGTGTAACATACAAAATCTATAAGAAAAGTCAGAAAAATTGGACTTGGTTCCAGGATCATACTTTTTCACGGATTAAGATATGCATCTGAATATGAGTCTGAATCAAAAGAGTTTGTTTCATATAATTCGATAAACTTTTGAATATGACGGCTACGATGTGCATGTACAGCAGATGTAATCGCTTCAAGGGACATTTTTTCTCCCAGAACTTTCAGAAAAGTTGCTAAAATGCATGGAAGTCATATATGTAGTGATAATTTTTTTTTTTATAGTACAATTGAAAGTGGAGACTTTTAGCTATCATGTCATGTATTTTTGACGAAGATCTTTCATAAAAATCACCTGAAAATTATGTTTTAAATATGATTAATTTTTCTGTAAAAAGAATAGTGTTATATTACTCTCAATTTGATATTGATTTCGATTTTAAAAGAATACTGTATCAATATTTATAATATGATTTTCAGAATTTTAAAATTTAATTAAGAATCATTTTCTAAACATTTTGATAAATAAAATGTTCAGCTAATAATTGACCATCATGGACAAATGTCTTCGTGCGATTTTTCTTATTTCATTCATTCGTTTGTTCATCATTAACAATACTTAATTATATCTTATATAATTTAAAATACATATTGATTTCTGTAAAACAAACTCAAATTTTTTAATAGGAAACACATTCGGAAATGTAACTATATTTTTCTAAGGTATAATAACAATAATTCTGTTATACATATATATATATATATAGAGAGAGAGAGAGAGAGAGAGAGAGAAGAAAAAATAATAAATGACACACAGTATCATACACTATTTTCATTCTTAAATAAGCAACCTATAATGTGTGTCTAACTAATTTGTCCTACGTCATATCTATTTAGATATATAGATGACACACAAGCATAACAATCTATATTGAACACAGTTAACTAAAATTTAAAAAATAAATGGATATTTGTTCAAATCAAACTGTATCATTATATTATAGTTGGAAAAATTTGATACTTGTATATCTGTTACTGTTTTATTAGTGATACCTGATCAGATCCTATGTAGAAAAAAGAATACCAATATTGTTCAATTCATTTTTCTCTCTCAAGGTCAATTGTCATTGTACACGTTGACAAAATATGTGTATGTGTATATAATGAACTACTACTACTACTACTGAATCCTTTTGTCAATATAGACTGTATACATAAAAAATAATGATCTCTCTTCTGTTTTGATCATATTTAACGATAATACATACTTAATTATAGTAAAATGAGACTAAATAAAAGCAAGTAAAAATAGTTCTAATTGGGACACTAATCGTAAATATACCAGATGATCTTGGAAATGAAGTATATTAAAAAATTGATCTCATTTATATATTTTGTTTAATATTATATGTTATACTTTTGAATCTAAAACTTTGTTCATTAATCGTCAAAAAATAAGAAAAAAAAAGGTTTGATTTGTATCCAGTTTCACAATTATTTTTATTCTTATCTAATAATCTAATAAATATACTTTCAATACGATTATTTTACTAGAATTTCAAACTTGTTGTCAAGGAGTACATTTATTACCAATAGATTTTTTTATATCAAAAATGATTTGTTTCTCTAATTTTGTTTTAAAATATTTTATGATTGTTCATTTGTATTCGCTAACTCTACACTGGTTTTTTTTTTTTGTTATATTTTTGTCAAATTTATCAAGTCATAGATCGATCAACGTTTTTCACTCTCTCTGTCATTTGGACAAATATCAAATAGACCGATAACGCGCTCCTTATGGATGCCGCAGGTATCATACCAAAAAGAAAAAAAAAAATTCAACGTAATATTGATAACGATCAAGAAAAATAAAAACAAAACTAGAAGAAGAAGAAGAAGGAATGACTGGTCTCCATTCTAAACGCGATTAATCATGAATAATATGATTTAAAAGCTTGCGCAAGTATTTCAAAAAGCAAAAAACAAAAAAAAATAAAATAAAATATTGATGGATTAATACACGCGTCATTCCATGCTTCATTTAAATGTGTTAAAAAGTATACATCAAAAAATATTTTTTAAAAGCTCAATACTATATCAGATTTGCTAATCATCACTTTATTTATTAGATTCTGATAAAAAAAGTCGACATTTTTTTCTTACCCATTATTTTAATAGTAAATTCTCTCTTTACTTGTTCCTATGATCAATAAAGATGAAAATTGTTAAATTTTATTTTTATTTTCATTATATTTAATAAGTTCGCGAAGAAAAATAAGTTTAAAAGTAGTGGTATGTACACAAGCAAACAAAAAAGAAAAAAAAAGGAAGAGTTTACATCGATAATAATTATACGTATATATATATATATATATATATATATATGTATATATATAAAATAGTGATGGTTTTTAATTAAAAAACAAATTGTGCGTATATGTGAAATCACTGTATGAGAAAAAAACAGTCTTTTGTTTTAGATCAAGATCTTATTTTTTCCATAGATATATGTGTATGTGTATATATATATATATAGATAGATAAAAAAAGTTAAGAAAAAGAAGACAAAATACTTCTAAATAAAATTCTATCTTTCTATCAATAGATAATGCAAAAACAACCGGGATATGTGTCAAAATAGTAGACGTTAGAGCAAAGAAGAACAGATGATTTTTTTTCTTTTTTGTCGTTTTTGCTATTAAAGTTCAAGAAGAAGAGAATGGATTATCATTTCTCATTCTATATATTGGCACCTGTTGATAAGTATGATTATTATGTCCATTTGAAACTGTCCGTAATAAATGATTATTTGAATTTGGTGACGTTGTTCGATGATATTTTGAATTTTGTTGTGGTGATGATGGTGATGATGTTAATATTTTTCGTGTCTGTTTTTGTTGTTGTTGTTGTTTTTGTTGACTATTTTGAGATAGAATACGATCGATAGAATATGAACATTTATTGGATAAAGGTGGTTCAGTTGGTTTTGGAGTTGATGATTTATCTATCGGTGTTGTGACACTTGTTTCTGATATTGGTGGTGATATATCATCTAAAAGTGAATCATCACTATCACCAATTGTATGATCATTGGTAGTTGCTGTTGATAATGTTGAAATGTTAAGTTGATCTCCAGTTGTATTTACAACAGTATTATCATCGGAAGAATTATTATTAGTAATATTGTGTAATAGTGTATGTTTTTTTGCATCTAAACGACGTTGTCTATCACATTGTTTACGTTTCTTCTTTTCGTCTGCTTCACGACGTTTTTTTTCTAATTCTTCTTTGGATATTGGTTCACCTGAACAAGTGGTCGGATGGGCATTATGTGGAGGCCTACCCGGACCTTTTTTAGTATTTTCCATTTTACGCCATTTTGCACGACGATTTTGAAACCATACCTAAATGAAAACATTAATCTTAATACAATGGTTATGTTGTAACACGATATCATTCTCAAAATTAATTCTAATCAATTAGAGTCAAAAATTCATTCTAGGCAAAGTCATAAATGCTCAGTTCTATATATTTACCTGTACTCTTGACTCAATTAAATCTAATCGCATTGCCAATGCTTCTCTCATATAAACATCAGGATAATGTCCTAAAATTTGACAAAACAAAAATTCATTCTTAATAGATGTAATAGCATTGAGAGCAGTATGAAATTTACCATCTTGAAATGCTCGTTCAAGTTCTTCTATCTGAATACTAGTAAAATTTGTTCTTGTTCGACGACGTTTACTGTCTCGGTCATCATCCGAATCTAGAAAAGAAAAAAAGTGTACATATAAAATTAGATTATCATCATTATCAAACAATTGAATTTTCTTATTTACTTAAAAAATGCAAAAAATTTCTCTAATATATGCAGGAGCATTAAAAAAAGTAGCAATTTTTTGTTTTTTTTGGATAGTGAGATAGAACATTGCATTAAACAAAATGAAATTAACGCGATTTCAGAATATTGTCTGTACTTTTGATCGATACTCTAACTTTAACAAAAATGTGAAATTAATTGTAAGAATATCAATATTGAGAACAACTGTGACTCATACTCCATTGTGTGTACTGTCACAATTTATATTAATAATTTCTTATGCTATATGCTAGAAAATTCGAAATGGTTTTATATTGAATCGCTGTAGAGCCCTATATTTTGATGTTTACAATTTCATAAAAGAGTTTTTTTCTCTACAATTTGACTCAGTCACGTTGTAATACTAACTATTTTTTTCAAAATAAAACCAATTCAAATTACGTTGCCTGTATATAAAATGAGATATCTCTGAAAAGTTCGAACAGTTGCTGTTGGACCTATCAAACATACATTTCTGACGGGGAGAGCTGAAAGATTATCACCTATGTAAATATCTGTGAAAGCAAAAAAAAAAACAAGGAAGGTCAAAAGGACAGATAAACGTGATAAAGATAAATAAGTCATTTTAAATCTTACCTTCTGCTAAATCATTATCCGATGTATCGTCTTTAGTATTATTTTTAGTAAATAAACCACCATTTGTATTTACAGTATTAAATGAAAATACTCCACCATCATTTGGAGTATTCGTCATTGTTCCCGTACCGTTATTCAATCGATTATTATACGATGAAACAGCAGCCAGAGTATCGTAGGAAAAATTTTGCTGATGATTTTGATGTGCCGCACGTAGAGCAGCTGTAAATGGATGCATGTAAGGATGATAAAAATTCATTGGAAATGGAAAAAAATTGGATGCATTTCCATTTGGTAATGTGGATGATAAAATATGAAGAGATGATTGTTGCTGTTGTTGCTGCTGCTGTTGCTGTTGTTGTTGCTGTTGTTGAGATAGTGAGGAGGGTGAAATACTTGTTGAAGATTGAATAGATGGTGAGTTGGATGAAGAAGAGGATGATGATGTTGTAGTAGATTTTGTTACTGAAACCATTTTTGGTGAATCTAATTGAAGATTATTATCCATATGGTGTCTTACTGGACTCATGTTCGTCTGTTAATTGAAAAAGCCACCAATTGTTTACTTGCGCCGATTAAAATTTACTTGTATATTAAAAATTAATTTAAAGTTACAATCCCTCGCTTTTTTTTTCTTCTTCTTCGTTACTTTCGCTCTTTCTCGTGTATCGACCAATCGATGAAAAATATTGATATGTGAATGTTTTAATCATTGGTTGTTGAGTTTCTTCAATGATGAAAGAAAAGAAAAAGAAAAAATAGAATGAATATTCCAATACGTTATTTGCTCACGATAAGGGTTATTAATGCGGTGTAAAACAACTATATTAGTTAGAAGAGAAAAAAAAGAATGATGAAGATTATGTTATTACTTATTGCTTTCTACGGGAAAAGGGAAAAAATATTGAATATAAAATTTTGTTTTGGTTACTTTTTTATATTAATATATGGCTTACACACGTTTTCATCTCAATTTTTTCGTTTTCTATTATTAGCCTGACTATTATTATTTATTATTATTATTATTTCTAAGCAATAAAGAGCCGATAAACAGAGAACTATTGCTCGAACATCAAATAGAAATAAAGACAAATTTATATTTTTTTCCTGCTTCCCTTGAAAAATATAAGATACATCATTTGTATAATACAATTGAAATAATATTTACAGTAATGAGAGAAAAATAGAGAGAAAGAAAAACTGAAACCATGCCGATATGTATGAGTCCTTTATTAACAAAGAAAAAAAAAATCTAATTTGTACTCTTTTGAGAAAATGTATCAATTTCAAGACATTTTAGACTGTGAACAAATGGAGTAGTAATGAAACGAACATTTTGGCATAGAAGGCACACTTGAAAGATAATGTCACTGTTTCTAGTCAAGAAATATTTTAAGAAAACTATTTATATACGAAACATTGTGACATGATCATTGTAACTACTAAAAATTAATCGAATAGATTTATAAATTTTTTAAAATAACATTTAGCTTAACTCTCACCCATGTCGACAAAATAAGGCATTTCAATAATATGAAATTATGAATCAAAGTGAACAGTTTTACTTTTTGTATGATGAGGCATGTTCAAAAAAAAAAAGCAAGAAAAACAAGTAAAATAGTCAAGATTTTTGTTTGTTTGTATTCTGTATATTTTGAAGAGAGTATACCGTTTAAACTTACCTTGGTGAAATAGTCTAAATGGGTAAACAATTACCTATATGAATTAGGTCACGTGTAGACCAACTTAGCTGTTATTTCTACGAAATATAGTTCTCAGTTTAAACAGCTGTTACGGACGAGTAAAATCCAAATGGTCGTATGTTTTATTATATTAGACAACAATCGATCTTTTTTTTTCTAAACATTTCGAGGAAAATGTGGTGTATTATATCGATGTTGTACACTGATTGGAACAAAAAATTTGAAAAACTAACTGCAAGATATAGATGCGATTTGAAATAATTGATCTTGATGAACACTCACAGTAAGAGGAGATCTTTGACTTTTTACATTTATCAAGTCTTATTCAATCCTGATATTGTGTTTGTAGGAGAGATAAGTCAGATTTTAGTAAAATTCTCTCTTTCTCTTCGTAAAAAAAAAAGAATTCTTCATTATATCAGTTTTCCCATTTTTTTGTATACAGCGTCTTATGAGGCAAGAAGAAGAAAAAATATTGAGCAATATTGTACACATCAAACATGGTGTGAAACTGTTGTTAAGTAGTAGTATTGATCGTTTTATTATAAAGTGAATGTGAAATAACACTTGACTTTTATTTACTCAACACACACACACACACACATATATATATACATACATACATATCGTTTAGTTGAAGATATATTTGTACATAAGAATTGAAGTATATTGAAGTTCTCGCTTTTATTAGAACTCACACTCTATAGAAGAAATGAAAAGCAGTCATCCGTGCAGATAATATCGTGTGCAAGGAAGATAACTGACAATATGACGATTATTTAGTATTAGAGATACATGAGATTTTGTATTCATACCACTTCACAACTTTGATACTTCTTCAATACAAGAACAAATTGACGATGTCCAGTTAAATTAGTGAAAACTTTCGTCTTTGTGTCTTTCAGTGTGATGAAAAATGTTTTCCAAACTACTGTGTATTGAACTCATTCAATATTTTCAGAAAATATTGAATGAGTTCAAGGTTGTGAAATTAAATTTGAAAGCTTAGTGCTTTGTAGATGTTTAACTTTCTCAAACCAACGCATTTTCCTCATTTTGATCGCAATTTAAACAACGCCTATTTAAATGGTAGAAAATCATCATACGCGCATAATAAACGTGTGAAAATTATGTCAACAGTAATTCAAACGCACATTCGTCTTATTACTAATCAAAGTATAGAAATTTTTTTTTTTCTTTCTTGATAAATAAAGCAAATATGATTTTACTTTTTTTTCTCTTTCTTCTCTAGCGCTTCTACTAGCAAATAATTATTTGATTTTTGATTAAAAACGAGACACACACACACATACACACAACTGCTTAATGCAGGTAAATATCGGATAAACTCAATTTCCAACTACTATTATATTGTTTATTTTATGTATGAAGAATTTTTTTTTATTCTTCTCCTCCCATCGGAAGTAATTAACTGAATTGATCGGCACAATACAACCTATTAATGTAGTGAATAAGAGGAATTTATTGTAATGTGTGTATATATATATATGTGTGTGTGTGTGCACGCACATACTAAAGATCAAATCAATCTGCTGATTTGATTATTATTATCTCACTCACTATTTAGTAGAGAAGGTGGCAATTATAAGTAAAAGTAAAATGCCGCATTTTATCGCCTCAAGTTTAAAAATTTATCTATTGCATATTATTGTTTTTATATCTGTCAATTGTGAGTAATGGATTAGAAATGAGGTGATACGTCATCACTTTTAATAAAGAAAAAAAAAAGAGGAAAAAACGGTAATATATCCTCTACTTTGTATTAAACTATCGATAATATCTTGTAACTTTGATAACTAGAAGAATTAACTTTTCAGTTAACTTTTTAAAATCATTTTAATTTTTTTTTCTAAAATATTTATGAGAAAGGTGCTAAATTATGAGATTGTATGCTTAAAATCAATTTTAGTTTTTTTTACTAATTTTTAATTGTTCTGTTACTATTGTTTTCTTTAAGTGCAAAAACTGCATGAAACATCAATAAAATTAACACGAATATGTAATTTAAAATGTGTTTAATATTAATTGTTTGATTATAGGATGAAGGATTAATTGGATGTTTTGTTAGACAAAGAATCACGCTATTCTGATATTATTCACTCTGGATGAAAATAGTATCAAATACAAAAAAGTCAATTTTTAGTTTGATTATGAAGTAGATATGATATTCGAATATAATATTTTAAGCTACGACTATTAGTCGTCAAATACTTACATGTTGTCGAGCTTAACAATGATGATCCATTCAATTAATATCTTAAGAACAATTGACAAGCAGTAAAAAAAAAAATACCGGAAAAAAAGACATTAAATAGTACTAACAGTCATCTGTCACTGCTGGAAACTTATCTTTATTTGTTTTCATGTGTTGTTTAACTTTAATTGATATTTCTGTCCGAGTTTAACTACTTCATTCAGAAAATCCGAAAGTCGTCATTTTGTCTACATTTTTTCAGAAACATCGAGAAACTATCTTGTCTCGTATCGAATAGCTTTTGGTTAAAGATTAAATAAATTGTGTGCATTCTAGTTAAATATTTTTGGTGAAAAACGGTTAGAACAACTTAATTTATACATAAAACAGGAAAAAGTCTGATATTATCTTTCATTTCATCGTGATAGAGAACTGACTGAATACTATCAGACTGATGATATTTCAGTGAAAAATCAACAAATCAAGAAACAGTATCTTTAACATCAATATGGAGAAAATATCAAGTTCTTATGTATAGATTTTAGTTTATAATATGTTTTAACTCTCATATTGAATCTTAACTATTTATTACTTCAATTTTAACGAGACGACAGATATAGAATTATGCAGGATTGAAATTTAAAAAATTGATTATAAAAGTTATGGATTTCAATAATTTTTGTCGATTTATAGCTATTAATATGTAGAATATCCACATCCAGAGTTTATTGATCAGACAAGATTAACTTGTCGCTTTCTAATTACTATGATACCAAACAATAACAACATTTTTCAGAGGCACCTATTAAAATGAAACGATCATCAATAGAAAATGAACATCTCTCTTATATTTTCATCATTTTAATACTTATTTACACAGTTTATATTAATCTCTCTTTCTCTCTCTCTTTCTCTCTATCAATTATTATTTGATTATTGAACTTTTATATATATGCACACATACACACTAAATTTAATCGTTTTCAAACAACAACATCAAAAATTATTATTTACATCTACACATATACACAGGATTCAAATTTCCATACATTGTTGACTCTATGTAGAAGAAAAAAAAAAAAGAAGGAGAAAATGGTTACTTTTACTTTACTATTACTACCGCTACTTATACGCATTAATCATAGAAAAATGAAAATGAAACCAAATATGTTTAGAAATTTTAGTTTATAATTATCGATAATCGATTTTATTACAAAATAAGTATATATTTTAATTTAATATTTGAGAAATATTGAATGTATTTTCATGCTTCTAAATGATTATTGAGTAAAACATCTTGTAGGTGTACGATCTTAAATAAACTTTTCATCTATTATGAGATGTTCTATTGGAAATGGTGCGAAATAGTTGATTTATGTCAAATAAAAAACTTTATATTCTTAATCCAAAATCATTTTTTTTGTTCAGATATGTTGATTCTTGATTTCCAGATTATCTAATAGAAGAATAAATTAATCGTAAAGAATGGGGATAATAGGCAATAACTACTTATTTTTAGAAACTACAAGATTCTTTCGATTGAGAGCAAAGAGTTTACCTCCTTTTATTTACACGAAAAGAGTTGTCCAACAAGGGTCTCTCGCTTTTCCA